AGTCCATCACGGGAGGAGACATCCGGTTGGGTCTCGCGAACGGCAGGCGGAAGATTTCTGGAAAGAAGACCGGTCAGATAAGGGTTCGACGCCATAAGAGTGAAGCTCACCGTCGTAGATAAGGGCGCTTCACGCGCGCCTGGGGAATGCCCTCAGTTGTTTCGCCCTACATTAAAGCGAGGTGGTTAGCAGAGTCGAACCTCAAGCCTATAGCCATAACTCACAGAAACAAAAGCATCAATATAGGACTGCCATCGATTAGTCAAGACTTCAGAATCATCCCAGCTAGAGTCATCTTTTCCGATCAACTGAATCGTCATTAATTTGGATTCCGAGAGCTGGTAGAAAAAAATTCAGTATGCATTGTGTTACTTTATTATGTTATCAAGACGCACCCAATCGATCCGGAACACATTTTCGTCTGGACCCAAAACCTTTTCAGCTTGACGACGATGGTTAATACGGTCCTGAGTCGTCGGTAACGCGAGAGACCGTTCACGCTTGAGGAATTCTAGCAATTCTTGACTCTTCGGGTCCGCAATCACTGCCTGCACTTGCTTAATGATTGCGCCGATAACTTTGTCCACGGTAAAAATCTTATATGAATCCTAAAAGGTCAAAGATTACCTATCAGCCTTTGTGTATCTGATATAATTAAATCATGGAAGACGAACCTTGGTACCGAAGATTGCACGCGTTTGGTCTTCAAATAGAGTCTGCTCTATTTCATTGGTGAAGAGGGCTTCAATCTGACCAAGAAGCATTTCATAATGATTAACGACGCCATTTCCATTTCCATTTCCATTGACCGCATTTGACGATCCTGCGTGAGAGTCGCGTTCACTGGAGATAGGCGTCTGGGCGATTTTGGCAGCAATGCCCTTGAACAACTGCAGACGAGAATAAAGAACCTAACACGGTAGAACGTATCAGACATTGTACGGAGAAGAATGATGATGGCACGCACCTCGAGGAGCCGCATCAGGGCGTAGAACGTTGTATTCGTAAAGAATACATTCGAAACCTTCGTCGACCGCCGCCCAGGCCCATAAGCCATCGTCTCCGCCCTCGCAACAGCAGCCTCCTTTTCCTCATCCATAATCACAGGCGACGCGAACCGAGACACAGCCGGCGATACCGCCGTGTCCTGCGCCCTCGTCTTCCTATTGGTTGACTTGGCCTGCTCTGCCTTCAGCAACTTCTTTCGGAGGTCGCCTCCAGAGCTCAGCAGTGTATGATGCCCACCCCTGCCATTGCGCCCCTTGTTACTACTGGGACCAGCCCGAGAAGAGCCGCCGAGCCCTTCGCTGTCGTCAGGCGCACTCGCCACATCCACGTCGCTTGTCGAGTCGCTCTCCACAAGATCGTGCACGACAAATGCCGAATTGAATTCGACTGGGTTGATGGCAAAGAATAGCGGGACATATGTGCGTAAGAAACTTTCGATTCTTCTCCGCTCGGTGACGTTCAGTTGACCTTGTGTCCTGTCCAGGAACGAGAAGATGAGCTTCACTGCATCCTGGAGCACGGCTTCATCGTCTATCGTGAACTCCAGTTGATACCGAACTCGTGTACGTGCAAGGAGAGGGTCGATTAGAGCCGCGCGCTTCGCCATTTGTTCCTCTCGTGCAGTTTCGACCTGGTTTACCAGAGCTTTGATAGTGAGCGACTTCTTGTCGGTGATCTTCCAAGAGATTGCCTGGTGGTCAAGGCTCTTGGCATAATTCCTTGCGTCGACCTCGCGCCACATCTTATTCCATGCCCGCTGTCCGCGCTTCCACTCCTCCTCCTTCTGCTTCAGCCGCTGGAGTACCACAGGGATTGCAGCAGCCGGATTTTCCTGCATCGATGCAATCACCTCCAGCCCAGCTTCGCGACCATAAATCTTCTTGATTACTCGCTGGTGAATCGCTTTCCACGACCCGCCGAGGTTGGGTTTGAGTTTGAAATTGCCCCTATCTTCTTGGCTCATTTGGGCAATTTTGTTGTTGATGGGTTCGAGCATCGCAATAGTCCGTACAATCGCGTCGATGTGGAAGTCGTACTCGTGCCGCTCCTCTTCGGTTCGATGTAAAGCTTCCTCATAGACGTTCTTTCGCCCAGACACAAATCCCCAGTCCTCACTCGTCCATGTTGGATGTGATACCCAATGGTCATTGAGCACCGATCGGCACATCTCGTCTCGCCCAGAGCATGGCACATTCGCTTCCTGTAAGAAAGATCAACGGTCAACGTAAAGAACATGCAAGAAGGGTGGATGAATAGCAACGTACGCTGTCAGGCAACTTCCGATAACTCCCATACTTCTCGCTCAAGTCAATCCGCCCCGGTCGTTGTGGAAGAGCTTTGAGCGCAGGCTTCGTCCAACTACTCAAGGACTGTTGCTCCGCCAAATAATGCTCCCTCTCTTTCTTCTCATCCCACCCAAGGATCTCCCGGAATTGCTTGTACAGCTCTGTCTCTCCCAAGAAATGACGACTTTCCTTGACCAGCCGTGCGGTATCAATGTAGTTTTGGGCGAAAAGGTTGACAAGTTTCAGGAACTCGTTATAGATCTCACGATTGTCGATGGCACGCTTAACGCGGTCGAAAAACTGAGTCTCGTCGTTCGCCGGAGGCATGCGTGGGGGCTGCGGTGGCAATGCGTGATGTGATGAACGGCGAGGTGATGGTGGGGCGGGGGCTGCATGCTTGGGGTTGTAGGAAACGGGGACGAGATCTTGGGTCGATCCATGTTTGAGTTTCTGGCGGGTATAGATTAGCATGAACGACAGAACAAAGGAACTCGTTCGCTTACCTTGGCCGGAGGCGCCATTTTCGCCGGTGTGGACTCCTTCTCTCGCTCTCTCTCCTTTTCAGCAGGCTTTCTTTTCCGTTTCTGCGGGAGGGAGGCTGAAGTACTCATGGCATTGGCAACAACATCGAGCTTGCGACGATTCTTTTCCCTGTCACGTGCGTGGGAGTCGTCCAGGTTCTGTTGGCTCTTGCTGGGCATGAAAACCCGGAAATCATTGCACAAATCCGGCGCATCTTCAAAAAGAATCGCAATCTGCTTAGAAACCTCCTCCTATGAAAAGTGATCAGTGATGCATAGCACTTTGAAAGACTCATCAACAGACCTCGTCGATGGTATCCGACTTGTGATGATAGCGAGAAAGAATGTCTAAAAACTGTCGATACGTGTCCGGATCGCAGCGTTGCTTGATTTTCTGAACATACTGCACTGCGGGCTCAATTGCTTGACCATCCACAGCCAATGTACGGGGGTCCGGCGATACCGGAGGTGGAGGTCGGTCGACTAACAGAGTCAATGATAAGAAGATACAAAGAGAACAATGGCTCACCTTCCATGTGTCGTAGCGGTTGAATTGGAGGTCCTGTTGACCACGACAATGTCTGGCCTGCGCCGTTTGATGTCGTGGCCTGAACAGTTGAGCCACTGGGAGTTGTGACGGTGATGAAACCCGAATCGTAGGGGTCCGTGGAGCATTCGATGCGATAGCCAACGGGCAAGAATGTGTTGAATCCTTGAATGAGCGCTGGATGTCCATGGAAAAGGTAAGATACACGTTTAATGACGCCCGGGGTATCAATTCTGGGAAGAGTTAGTATGACATCAGCAAAGGCGCGCATAAGACGCACAGCTCGTTTTTGAATTCCTTCATAATGTCTAGGAAGTGGTTGTAGACGTCTGGCTGATCTTGGAATTGTGACTTGACAGCATCCAAGTAGGTGAGAGCATCGGTGACGTTGAGAGGACGGTCGATAGAAGCGTAATTCTGTGGGTCCATTGGGGAAGGTCTTCGAGATCGCTGCGAGGATGCCTGTCCAGCAGCATCGTCATATTCTCTGTCGATTCGAGGAATTGTGGGCGTTCCAACGCGCGAAGTAGCCATGCGTGTTACACGTCCGTCTCGAGGCATTTCGTCAGGTTCAAGTTTAGGCGTCGGCCTCCGGTCGAGTGGGTGGTGGTCCAAAAGTAGAGACGCCGAAGGCACCGGTGCTGTTCCTTTTATCGTCTTTGCCTCAGGGTCGCGCACAGGTCCGTCTTCTTGCATCGGTTCGATGTCCATTGCAACAGCAACAAAGAGTTCTGCAGGCTAGGAGGTGGTGACGATGATCAGAAAACAACGAGTGAAGGCGTGCGGATTCACGGGTCTGTGCGCCGATCATTACCACGCTCATCACGTGCTATTAAGGACCTATTCTAGATCTGGGCGGAGGACTCAAAGAACTAGAAAAATATCATTTTGCGATAGCTCAGAGAGGGAAGTAGAATGCAGAAACTAAGGGGAATTATATACTACAAACATGCGATGCACGGGCAATAACTCGGAATACGTCATCAGCAGAGATGGTAAAATCCAAATTTAGATCGTCGATTTCCTAATCCAGCTTCTGTGAAATTTACAAGCATAGGCTGACGACAAACCGACCGGGTTTTTTCAAATCTAATCAACATAACTGAAGCATAAGCGTTTCAGCGCACATATTCATCGAGTTCTTAAATATTAAGTGCTCAAAATATGTTTATGTTTCAAGCAATAGTCAAATTTGTAAAATTGGTGTTGGAGTTCACTGTCGTCCATCTGAAGAGAGTTCGACGATTCCTCACTGCAAGGCCACAACATCATGTTTCCAATGAAATCTAAATCTTGCCTAAACCGTCGAAATAACCGTCTGAGAGACTTCCCGGAGCTATAATTGTAAGGTAACTTAGAAATAATTTGCAAGGCAGGGCACATGGTGTAGTTGGTTATCACGCTCGCTCAGCATTGAAAATTGAACATGGTTAGGAGGCGGTCAAAAAATGTTTTATGAAAGGGAGAATGATAATCGAGCACAGCTGCCAATGTTAACGAAGCTGGAAGACAAAAATAGAGCACACAAGAAAGTCGCATTAAGGACAAAGTTACATATACATAGTACTGTTGGGCGCTAATTCAAAGGTCTTCTCGTACTTATATTCTAATTTAGATTCCTGTAAAGGCTCGTCTATAGGGCACATGGTGTAGTTGGTTATCACGCTCGCTTAGCATCGAAAATTGAACGTGGTTTGCGAGAGGTGTTGGGTTCAACTCCCAATGCGTCCATATTTTTTGAATTCCGCTACTCACTCATTCTGAAGATACAATGATCATATATATTAAGGCTCCAACCGTACAGTATACCTACTGTATATATACACTTTATACCGTATAGGATTAGGTATAGGTATAGGAGATTTCTGAGGATCTGTGTATACAGTAGGTATACAGTATACAGTTATCGTATATAGTATCTACATTAGTAGTGAGAATCGCGAACATTTGAGTATTTTTTTGGATCTATAAAGTTACTATAAAGTGTAGTACTTAAACCGTAAATAAAGTAAATGATACAAGAGTGCTTTCACCCGCGCTCTGGAATATAGCTCTAAGCATATGGGCCATAGAAGCGGCACGGCCTCGTGTTTATGCTTGAATTTCGCGGTAGAATTTCCACCACTCTCAGAGCCACAGGCTGAGATGTGTCGTAGAGCGGGTTTCACACAGCAGGCGCAGAAGCTCAGCGCACAGCCAATGAAATCGCGCGACGACCTAATGAAGATTTACCTGCTCTCGCGTCTCCTCAACCTCGTTATGAACGTCACATGCCATCCGCGCGTAAGCTGTAATCGCACTTGCGGTCGAGTCTTGATGATTGGCTGGCAGCGCACAGTGTACAGTGACTGTGCATTCGTATAAAGTATATTGAGCTGTTTCCATTCGGTCACTGGTGAATCGATCGATGCACAACTGGGAGGTCATTTGGGAGAGAAAAAGACATGGCGCAGGTGGTTCGACTGCGTACCACAAGCGGCAGTAGGTTATTTGATGTCAATGAATGCTCAAAGTGCAAAAGATAGCCCAGAAATTTTTCGAAAGATACAACAGTATAAAACAATAGTATAACTGTATATATACAGTAATTATACTGTAGGAAACTGTATATGTATACTGACCCGCTGAGGCCTATACCTATACTATATGGTTGGAGCCTTAATATATATATTATAGATCGATTCCAAATTTTCATCTATGATATGTTGGAACTTAGCTTATACCATGGTCTGCAACAGAACACGAAGATATACGCAGATGAGAATCATAGGAGTTTTACGATTCCGAATATACGAAGGCAAAAATCAGCACCTGTGAATTGCGGGAAAGTATTTTGAATGCGAACACTCGGATGCAATGAACTTAAAGCGAAAAAAAAAGAATGCGCTTTGAAACAGATTACTCTCTCACAAGCGCGCTTTCCAGTGTCTCAGGAGTCAGTATGAAGTTGCAATAAACTCATGTGTCGCCGACAGTGGGGGCTCGGGACTCGAAGGGGAAGCAAACACAAAAATATGGACGCATTGGGAATTGAACCCAACACCTCTCGCAAACCACGTTCAATTTTCGATGCTAAGCGAGCGTGATAACCAACTACACCATGTGCCCTATAGACGAGCCTTTACAGGCGCCTAAATCAGAATATAGGTACGATAAGACCTTTGAATTAGCGCCCAATAGTATATGTAACTTTGTCCTTAATGTTGCTTGCGAATATGCCAGCTTCATCCAGCACCAATAATCTATTTGATTCAATGCGACTTTCTTGTGTGCTCTATTTCTGTCGTCCAGCTTCGTTAACATCAGCAGCTGTGCTCAATTTTCATTCTCCCTTTCATAAAACATTTTTTGATCGCCTCTCAATCTTTGTTGGGATCATGTCCGAGTGAGCGTACCTGGTCCGCAGCGTACATAGGCTCTTGTAGCCTGCACAGCCCGCCACAGCCTTCCTGTTGTACGTGGTACTATTTTTATACCCCGTACGTTATGACATACAAGGCCAAAATAGAACTCCGTTCAGAACGCTCCTTTGCACGTCCTCGTTTCGGCATATAACACCCTTTCGTCGCTTTCACCACCTTCAATCCTATTTCGCCCATGATCATCAACACGGATACCCAACAGGTGATCGAAGATTCCAAGTCGGCGAACAATGACGCACCGCCATCGTACAGCAGGGCGGCGGACTCTACAGCAGGTTCATCGAGCGCAATCATGCCAGAGCCCATCTCTGATAGCAAGTCTGGTGGTCCTTCCTTCCCTCAGAATCCACCCCTTGACGGCGCCATGACCACAAGCTCGTCTGGGCACTCGTATTATGCCCCCAGCACTTTTAGGGGGCAGGCCAGTCATGATCCCAATCTCTATGCGCCTTTCTCTCGAGTCCCTGATCAGCAATTGGCGTACGACTCATTCCCGCCAATGTTTCTCGTTGCGATAAGCAAAGCACTCGAGAAGGGCTTCCCTTCTGCACCGCCGCCGTCGACGACTCGCCAACACCCTTTTATTTCTCATGACGTTACGGAAGAGGATTGGCTGAGGCATGTTGATATGAATCTCTTCATGTCGTGTGGAACAGGCTGACAATGATATCGTTAGATTTTTGCAGGAAATATATTTCTCGGCCCAACTCACGGAAAAGGATATTTATCGCTCGCATATACCCATTGTCTCTATGATTCCCTTCGTCAGTGAGTATTATCTATCGCCTTGCATGCCTTCGGTTTGATAATATATTTCGCTGTATAAAAGGTCCGATGGCACGTTTCGGTGTGCAGAAATTCATGAAAAGCCAGAAAAAGCATAAAGTTGTTAAGGTTATTGATACCTGGAATCATGTACGTTCCCGGCCCTCCTTTCTCGCTTCCTTATCCCGAACCTGCTGAACACCTTCGTTATCATTAGCACTTCTTTGGACCACGCAAGATTCGCGTAATGTTTATGCGTGGTTGGACCAAACTCAGTGGAGCAACCGATGCCCCCCTTTTAACCTCACCAAGCTACGTGGGTAAATTTAAGTTGCCCGGTTCTTCAGATCCAGCTTTTGGACCAGAAGTGAATTGGAATGATGATGTTTTCCGACTCTTAGTTGTTCCAACCGTTTGATTACGATCCGCAGTACCATGATGTAAAATAGATGTCCTGTTTAATAACGACATTGATGACGGTAGCCATCCTCGTATGATCTTCCGCAGCATCTTCCAGGAATCCTGTTTAGTGTAACTTCACCTTGAGTTTCAGCCAAGTACTGGGTGAAGTAAACTGATTGACGTTAACATCAATTAGGATCAAGAATGGGCTTCCATGATTATCTTATCTTATCTATCTCAAATTCGTAGAATCAAACATGACTCCGTCCTCTTTCTACAGCTTTCTACTTCCTCACACCTTCTATGGCTACTGTATACCCTGCTCATTTCGATATCTCTGCCGTAATACGGCCCAACATCCTTGCGCTGCAGCCATATCGATGCGCGCGTGATGACTACAGCGAAGGCATCCTGTTGGACGCAAACGAGAACGCCTTCGGATCGTCCATCATAGCGAGTGACGACGCAGAAAAGCTCCTTACCGAGCTGCAGGCGACGACGTCGCTGGATTTGCACAGATATCCAGATCCATCCCATCCCTCGATCAAAGGGCGAATCGCGTCGTTGAGGGGCCTGGTGCCGCCGCCTGGGACGACCACCTCGGATCCGTCGGGCGCCGACCATGTATTTTTGGGCGTTGGTTCGGACGAGATTATCGACCTGCTGATGCGTGTATGCGTGAAGCCTGGTGGTTTGGAGAAGATTCTCACTACACCGCCTACTTATGGCATGTACGCGGTATGTGCGCAGGTGAATGATGTTGGTGTTGTCAAGGTTCCCTTGGAACTCACCGGGACTAACGGGGAGGGAGGCGAAAAAGGACGTTTCAGTGTCAATGTTGACGAAGTGCGTTGGAAAAATCTCAGTCGTTCCTTCGATTGTGCTGACTTAGTACCCAAAGATCAAGAAAATAGTTGCCGCTGATCCATCCATTAAACTCATCTTCCTTTGCTCACCAGGAAACCCCACCGGAACGCTCATTCCTCTATCCTCTATCCGTGAATTGCTCGAGTACCCTTTATTTAAAGGAATTGTGGTCGTCGATGAAGCGTATATCGACTTTGCGGACGATGTCCAGAAGAGTAGTGCGGCATCCCTAGTCAAAGAATACTCCAACATCGTGGTGATGCAGACCCTCAGCAAGAGCTTCGGCCTTGCCGCTATTCGGTGAGCCAGAAATCCAATTCGTGTGATCTGAGTTGCTTCTGACTTACTCCAGGCTGGGAATCGCCCTCGCACAACCTCCACTCATTCAAATCTTGTCGAATACCAAAGCTCCATACAACATCTCCACCCCTACCGCACACCTCGCATTATCTGCACTGTCACCTGGCTCTGTCTCGCTCATGCAAAGCAAAGTGCGTTCGCTTGTCCAGGGCCGCAGCACGCTGCTCAAAGGTCTTGCATCGCTTTCATCTTTCGGGGTCGGTCCCAGTATTGGCGGCAACGACGCAAATTTCGTCGTCGTGCCCATTCTTGAGAAGCCGGCGTCGGAGGCAGAGGCGCTGAATGGGAAGCCTGACAACAAGCGCGCGTTCCGGTTGTACAAGACGCTTGCGGAGACTCATGCTGTGGTTGTGCGGTTCCGCGGCAACGAGCCCGGCTGCGACGCGTGTCTCAGGATAACGGTGGGTACGGAAGAAGAGAACGCGGAGGTGTTGAAGAAGATGAAAGAGGTTCTAGCGGAAATTTAAGGGACTTGAAAAGTATATTTAATGGGGAATGCGGACACCATTAGGTTTAGATGAATGGTGCAATTTATTTTCTATCATCCCGAAGAATTTCTGATAAGGCCCATCAACTTGTATTGCAATATCTAGGTATCGTCCGAAAAACGTGTGAAAATGTCCTCTGTTGCGCGCTCTCAGTCTCGCCTCGATATGAAAGCGACACTTCACCCTTCCCGTAAACCTCCACCTCGTAGAGGATTTCTGACGCCACGCCTATCATCTCTGTGCCCTTTTCGCCTTCCCCAAAAATATTTCAAATCGCTCTAAAAACAGATGGACCTTTATGCGACACAGCGAAACTCTATACACGAAAAATGTTAAGGTGGTCCAATGATGCGATGACGTTCTCGAGGACTATAAGCATTAGAGTGCCGGCTTGATGACCGCCCTTGATCTTGGGTCTATTTGCAGT